ATCTTTCTCTCTTCCGATAAAGTCTCAGAACTGTATTAAAAGAAAAAATGTGCACGCACACAAATAAGCTTTGCCTATCAAGGAAGTTGTTTTGTCGTGATTTTTGCTGAAATCTTCATTTCAGAAAAAGAATGAAGCACATTTAAAGCTATGCAATTTTGCCTGTTAGCAAACAGCCTCCCAATTATCTTCTGTTTGATTGCTTGCCTCTATCAAGGTGAGCGATTAGACCACCGCTCCTGTGAAGCTTTGGAAGTCGTCCTGAAATCACTGCACTTTGATTTCATCAATCTGCAGGCAGCCCAACTGGAAGAAAATGTGAGTTTTATGAGCAAAACTTATTTTGCTCATCTTCGTCTTCCAATTTCAACACAGTTTCATATTCAAGACTCACCCTGTATCAGATTAGAGGCTTTTTTTTATTTAAAAAAGAACTTCATAACATTCCTTTCAAATTTGAGGCCTTGCTTTCCTCACTTTTTCTACCTGACTTTTTATTTATTTCCAGGAAGCATCGTCTTTGCTGGATATGATTTTGTACTATGAATCTACAACCCATCTTGACATTTCTGACAACAGCAGTATGGGAACATCCGGTTGGAGGGCCCTCGCTCATTTGATAAAGCAGGTTGGCTGACGCAGTGGAATAGTAATCTTTTCTTGTGGGCTTTCTCCAAGGGATAATGTAGATCCTAGAAAGTGAATTTTGTGCACATTACATGGATTGGAGATGCAGGGCAAAGCAAACAGGGTGTGATGTCTCTCACAGCAAACACGAGCATAAACACATTCACACACACACACACAAACTTAGAAAGTATAAAAACAAATGGACTTTCATGTCTGTGGGATTCAGGCAGGACATTCTGTTATCTCAATATAAGGATTTTGAGCATGAGTTAAAAAAAAATTCTGAAATTTAAAACCTTTGTTTAACATTTCTGAAATAGTATTTTTCGTTGAATATACCTCAAGTTTTAACTTCACATTTTTGGTCTGTCTGGTATTCAAAATTTCTGGAGGAGAAAATATATTTGCTTGGTCAAATACAGTACTGTGGTAAATTAGCTCAGTGTGATTTTAGATGGATGAACTTACAGTTCACATAACTTAACATATTACTAAATACTAAGATTTCCTTGTAAAGCTCACGATCAGAAAATTACCAAAACAAAATTCATCCATGAAGTATGTGGTACTGCAATGGTGATGTGGGACCTATACTAGATGGTGCTCAAGCTGCCATGCTGATTGCAAACTGCACACAATGACAGTCTGAATGTTACGGTGCGTTGTGGTTGGACCCGGAAGCAGACACAGGGAGTAACAGTCCTTGTAAAGAACAGGGTTTTAATGTATCGCGCGTGGCAGGCAGGCTGGGGGTGAGCAGGAGTGAGGGCAGGCAGGTAACTCTCTGGTGGTCCTGAGGCACAGGAGAAGCAAAGTTAATGCAGCACAAAAACAGTGAGAAGATTCTTCATAGAAGGGTTACACTAGAAGTGAGGCCAAGAGTGTGTACCACTGGAGTAACTGTAACAATCTGGTGATGAGTAGCGGGGAAGCCAGAGTCTTTGTAGTGCTGGTGATGAGGATGATTGCCACCCGGTGTGGGACTCACACCAGGTGCCAGGAGTAGAAGCTGCGCCCACGTCCACACATACTCACACACACACAGACACACACACACACACAGGAGGAAAGGAGGAGGGACAAAGATCCACAATGGAAACGGCCCAAGCCGTGACACTGAATCCGTTTTTCGGACATGAACTCTGGAGAATGTCCAAAAAATTTTGTCCAGGCTTTCTTGGGATTGGCCTTTCATACATGAACAATGTAGCAGGAGATTCTTCACTCAGACGCAGTGACAACAACACAGAAATCTCACGCAAGGTGTGGCAACATCACATCTTTTATTGGACAGAACACTGTTCTGAGATCAGAGAAGGGAGCTATCACTTCCAATTCAGTATCACCTAATTGATTTCTGTACTTAGCTTTAACAGGTCAAGCACTGCGTACCTTGCTTGCACTGACAGCACACATTGTACTGATCTACTAGAATCATTTGTCTGTCTCACAGCATGTTCCATGGTCTCCACGCAAAAGAGGCCACATGCTCATCCGAGTCATCTCAGAGGGTCTTAACATGACAGTCTGAGATTGCAAGGTTTACAATGAATGTGTAACTATTTCCATACATTTTTTATATGGCCTGCCTTAAGCATGCCAAGAAGTGCCATAGATATGTTTATCAATTAGTATGCTAGCATTGTGCCCCTTCCCCTGACTTCATGCAATGCCATGGTTGATAACTTCACCAAGGGCTAGAATGACCATCTGGCATACCAGGCACTTTCCTGATGGTCCAATATGCCTTTAGGGCTGATGCAGTTGTCTTTTTTTTGTTTGATCGGTCCATAACAGAGATCGGCCAATTGTTTAGTTTTTTTGTTAATTAACACTGGGCTGGCCCAATCACATCTTTAAATAACTCCTCTTTGGGATCTGTACTGGTGTCATTAAGTAATGGATCTTAAAAAAGGGAGACGCAGAGAAATTGCAAGAGAAAAGACACACCCAAGTCCTGGGAGTTGTGCCCCTCATTATCATTGCAAAAATACTATACAGTTTCACATGGTGAAATAATATGCATTGAAAGCAACATAAAGCATTTATAAGTTTTGAGAGATTGAGCCCACCCTCTCATTTGCCTCACAGTGGTTTGGTGCACTACCCATCCAGCGCATGCAAACACACACTCACACTCTTTTTCTCTCTCTCTCTCTCTTTCTCTCTCAGGATGTGTGTGACACATTGCCTATCACTCAATAGAAAAAAAAGAACACATTCACAAATCTTGAATCTAACCTGGGCCACCTTGCTGCATCTTATAAAATCTTATAAAACATGTAAGGAAATCCCTCCACAATTAAAATGGAAAACACGATTTTCAAGCCATTTGGTTTGTTACAAATGTCAGATGTGTATTTATGGTACAGAATGCTTGGTAACATGCCAAAATATTAGATCATTTTGTCACAACCCGGCTCTTAAGGCCATGACAAAACAGCAGCTACATCACGCGTTTTGCAAGGTGCATGTAAACCAAAAGGTAATAATGCAACTGAAGACAACCAATGACTGCAACATAACCAATCGGGTACCTGCAGAAAAGGAGAGAGAAAGAATGTGAATGCCACATAATTTTTGACTACATGTGAAATAGCTGCCATGGTGATATTTTCAGCATAATTTTGGAAATAAATGAAGAATTCATTAAGAAAAATATACACATGCACACCATAGACTGTATAGACTGAATTTCACTGCTCTGATGACGCTAAGTTATTTGGTGCATGTGACAATAAACTTTGATTTGATTTGATTTGATAAGCATGCAGATATGTGTGATGGACCCCGGGGGGGTAAATGTACTCTTCAATGCTAGCTAAAGACCTGTTCTCAGGCCTACGGCTAGCTCTTTGTCACTCGTTCTCTCTCTCTTTCTCTTCAGCTTTATTAAAGCACCTTGAAATTACTTTGTATGAAATGTGCTATACAAATACATTTTGATTTGATGATTGACTTACTTTTGCATTTATCACAATGTAGAGAGTGATACATAAAATAATTTCCTTTCTGATAAATCCACTCGTTTGGGACCCTGTACAATTTCCTCTTCTTCTTTTTCATCTTTGGTGACAGCTTCCGGTACCAGCATGTCTGCCTGAATTACCCCTACCTGTCATTGTACAGCATATTAGTGTTTGATGAACAGAGTCACAGCTGCAGGTGAACATTGTTACAAATGTCAGTGGGATTTTGAATGAGGTCAATAAATGTGTCAAAGTTTACAAAAATAGAACTCAATGCAAATCATTTGTTAAGATTTACTTCGCCTGCTAATCATGATTGTTACAGAAATGAACTGATAATGATAAATTTAGAAAAAGCCCTTCTGTCTAGATGCACTCTCTAAGATGTACTCTCACCAACATCCACCTAAATCCCACAACAGGTTTATGCAGGTTCAACCCCTGCATGTTGCAAATTACATTGATGTACAACTCATCTGCATTAACTAACACATTTTGTTAAAAATGTAATGCTGATAGTTTTATGAAGTGGAAACTATTTACTATTAGGCAATAAATGCTAAGTCGAAGTAGAAGTCATTCTCAAATCTTAACTAACTCTTAAACAACATAAATTAACTACAATAATAGGAAGCAGAATGTGACCCCCCCAGTCTGCTACTTTGTGTTTCAGGATCTAACACTATACCTATAAAACAAACTAACCACTGAACATACTATATTTCCTCCTGAATGTATTTAGCAAAATAAAAGGATAATAATATAATCTCACTTTGTATGACATATTGCATCACTGCATGCTTTGACAAAATTCAACCTGCAGAATCTGGGTTCCTTCGAGTTAAGAGCTTTGATATTGCATTATTTATATAAATGAAAATAATATGACTCTGTTCTACTATTCTAAACCCAACATTCCTACTTTTACAACCCAGATTATCCAGCAATTTCCCACACCTTCTAAAACCCCAAATATCAACCCACAGAATAGTTCCAAACCCTTACGCAAAATACATCTGCCCCAGCCAACCCTCCGTCACGTCTAGGCATCATCACCCTGCAGTGTCCATCTGACCATCACATCACTCAGGCATGTTATCTTCTTCCCAGTTTCTGCTCAGTTTCTGATGTGAGGGAGGGCAGATAGGGCCAGTGTTAGATTGCAACTCCTCACCTCCAGCCTGTCCACTTTTGACAACAGATGAACCCGGGCCTTTTGACAACAGATGATGAAGCTATTTTCTCCCCACATCCTCGTCCTCTATTCCTCTGTTTCTCCTTTTTTGTCACATTAGATATGTCTTCAACTGTTTTTTTGTCTGCATCTACTGCATTCCTTGCATACAACAATGTATATGTGTGTTTCAGAGTGTCTGTCTGTCCAGACTGGATATGTGTAACATGCCCATGGTCGACTACCCGGCCCTGTCTCTGTCTAAAGCTCTGCTGACCAGCCGGCTCACAGTGCTGCACCTTCACAATGCCCAGCTCAGTGGCATGCCACTATACACCTTGGGTATGATGTACACTCACACACAAACAAAATGTCCTTACTGAATACCCCTGAGGATTATCCTTTAAATATTGTGCATGTGCAAGTGTGGACTCTGTGTTCAAACAAGTACATGTGCATAAGCGTGGGATATTTTGTGTATGTGTGCGTGGGTGGATGACTTTGTTCGTCCTGTGGCCAGCAGGACCAGATTTTGACCTGTGACCTTCTCTGCAGGTCTAGACCCGGATTAGAGGCCTAATCTCTTACCTGTCACTTTACACACCAATGCACACATCTATAAGAGCTCTGGAAGCCAGGACACACACACACACACACACACACACATAATAAAGGGTAGGTAATAAGAGGCCACAAGGTGCTGAGCTAGATAGTGATGTGTCAGTAAAAGTCATTATGAGGAAAAAATAAAAGCAATTTTCTCACCGTGTATTACATTTCATTATTAGATAGTCAAATACAAAATAAAATGGAGTGTTTTTTAAACTCTGGTACACTATCTCAAGTCATGGTAAAATACATTTCATTGAGATGAAACATAGCATGAGCACAGTCTTCCTCTCAGTTTGGCATAGAAAAAGAACTTGTTATTCCTGGATAAGTTTGATTTTATATCTTAGTGTCTGTGCATTATCCCCTACCACCCACACACACACACATCGCTGCATCCCTCCATCCTCCACATCCATTCCTCACCCTACTCCACCCTACTCTCTGCCTGTGCTGAGCCCCCACCTTCCCTCCCAACAGGGGGTCCCGACTGAGGATCATTGCTTTCGATCGGAGGGGCCTCTGATTGCAGTATTGGGCGCTCACGGTGGAGTCAACCGGATCAATCCCAACGATTCCACCATTTGGTCCCCACTGTGACTAATGACAATGTTGGCATTCTACATGCAGCCCAACAGGCTTGATCAAATCTGCAGCATCGATCGGGATGCAAGGGCAGCAAGGGCTCAGGCAACACAGACACATGTGTACCTCAGTACAGTACATATTACACAAGTGCACAGGGAATGTCCACAACACACTCATAAATACAGCTTAAGCCTCCAAAACATCAGCTAAAGCTGTGATGAATAACCATAATGAAAATATTGAAAAAAAGCAATGGCAGTCATTTTTAAAAGGGGGTCATGAAATGTGACAGTTGTTCAGTAAGTTCTCATGCACAAAGAAGACACAGGCCTCCGCAATGTCTTGCAGGCCTTGTTCTTATTAGAATGGAGTATCACTTGATCTTTGTAGCCGTAATTTCAGGAGGCAACAATTCCTGCTGTGCTTACGTCTTCATGCTCAAGTTCACTTACCGTCAATCAGTCTATCACAGTTACATGAAGTTAAATGTTAAGTGTTTGGCACTTCTACAGTGGATCATATCTAACATCAATTTATACCAATCTATATGTTTTAATTGAGTCAGGGATTGAAGCATGGCCCTCTTTTCCATTGGAAAAACACATTTTTGTACTTAATGGTTCTCACTGCCTATTACTTATAAGGCCACATGTGTCTGTATGACTGTTCCAGCACGGATCCTTACTTATCTTGCTTCACATTCTCCAATAAGATTCCACCCCCTGCATGCAAATCCCTTGACCTTGCAGGAAAATCTACCCATCCTTCCCCAAAGACCTGATCCGCAACTGGGTTCCCAACAGCCAACAACTGTATCTGGGGATTAATCTTACAACTTACAATAATTGTCATGTTGTGCTAACTGGGTGGTTGTACTTTAGGGGAGTGAATATACTGAATGAATGAGTGAATGAAATACAAGATTGTATTCCTTATCTAATGAACACTGTTTTCTTTTGTTGCTGCCCATAGTTGGTGCACTGAAGATGAACCGGGCTTTGCAAAAGCTCCACCTGACCAACAACTTGTTGAACAGCTACCAGGATGCTCTGCAGCTTGGAGACCTGCTACGCTACAACACCACTTTACAGACTCTGGAGCTCAGCAACAATGCTGTAGCAGATGCTGGTAAAATGCTCTTCTTTGGTACAGAATGATAAGACATTTATTAAAAGTTTGACAATGCAAAAAGTATATGTGAAAATATGTCATATATTAATGTGTAAAGGTCTGGAAGAGCCTTTAGTCTTGTCAAACCTTAGTTCTGCTAGTAGTCACATGTATCTAATGGATGGCATTTGTATGGTATATGAGTCACTGTCGTGTTGTGAGCTGAAGGTAGAACGAGTAGGTCTTTAAATGGGAGAAATATATGTTGGCATAGGATTTTTTTCAGACTACTTGTTTCCTTTTGCTTCCAGTCTTTGTGCAAAGCAAGGCAAACCATGTCCAGAATCTACCTCTATACACACAGATTAAAACCCATTTTATCATTTCACTTGGGAAGAGGGTGAATAAAAGCATTTGCTAAATTGTGCAACTATTTCTGCATATTCACAATTCAGACTTGACAAAAGTTTGCATTCACCCAGAAAGTTCCTCCGGTAATACTTTATGGAACCTTTGTACCTAGCACTCAACCAATCAGGTATGTTTAGTGCTGCAAGCCCCACCCCAAAGGTTGAGGTACTTTCATAAAGTAGAGCATTTTTTGGTTGGTAAAAACATTTCCCTGGAACTTTATTTCGATCATGGTCCCTGTGGTGTAAAAAAAGAAGAATATGTAAAGGTTTCTAGGTCCTGGGGAAAGTTCAGTGTTGTTATAGTGTCGCTCGACATAGAGTGTTTCACATGAATTAATTCCCTTCCCTTGGAACCTACGTGAAAAACAGTCCTGCAGAAGCCTTTTACTCCCTTGACAAAAGTTCCTGGGACTAAAAGTTCCAGGTTGTTTTGGTGGAAACAAGGCTTTGTTGGTAACAGTTCCACCACAAAGATGATCAAAGAAAAGAGATTTTTGTTTTTGTATAATGGTACAGCAGCATCATTTTTCACAGATGAACAGGAACTGCACCCGCAAGAAATGGTTTCATTTAATTCCAGTGTAAACTCAATTTAACAAATGTAAATAATGGACAAAAGAAATACATTTATAAAAAATTTAATATAGAAAAGCAAAGCAAATTTGTAAAAAAAAGTGTAATAGAAGTGCAATTACATTGATAAATAAAGATACAATTGAAATAATACTAATTATTGTCTTTATCCGCCCATTATATCCACATATGTTTGATGTCTTAATGATTATGTAAGTGTGTGAATACTATAGGAAGATTCCTGAGGATCTGGAAAGAAACTCAGAGGCCAGGGATAAAAAAAACAGGCATAAAACCTGTGTATTGTGCTTGTGGATCAGGAAACTTAACTTAACGCCCTAATCCTCCAAACACAGCAGCTGGGAATGACAAGACAGTTTCCCTGGCCTACAGTGCCATGTTGCCAGTAAATAAAATGCTGATACACTGCATAACGGTACTGCCTGTTGTCATCCCCAGGCTCTCTCATATGGCGTAATACCATAATGTTCTCTTGGTACTGCCTGCATGTTTTAAAACTTGGTGGTAGACTCACACAGTTTTCAGGCCAGAGCATTTCCTCTCCAGTAGGGACATACCTATGGACCATTGGTATGTCCCTACAGTTGCCACAAGTACACCATGTTATCACTGGCACTCCACCAAAAGGTGGGTGACTATGCCAATGCTGCTTTATTATCAAGGCATCAAACAGTAACCCTGACCGCTTCTTCACGAGTTGGATGGTCCTCATCTTGCCCTTCTCATCCTCTCCCTTCACTTCTGTGCAGGTCAGCTGATTAAGTGTTAAAACACGACCGCTGTCTTGCTGTTATTAGACCAAAACAAGTCAAATGAAACACTGTAACTTGCTTGCTAACGTTAGCTAACTAACAGCTACCTAACACTAGTAATTTAGTGCTACCACAATGCGATGACAAGTTTACAACTATGTTTAAATAAGTTAATGTTCTCTTTTTATGCTTTGCAAAACAAGAAGACCAACTGGGTTCAAAGCTAAAATATCAATCTACATACACTCTCGAATCTCACTTGTAACACTAAGGAGAAAATTAAATAGTCAGAATGGCCCTTTACACCTCAGCAGGAAAAGAAGGAGGGATGAGGTAGATGATAAGTTGGACACACCCATGAGCCAAAAAACAGAGGGAAAAATCAAACAAAGGCAGCATGGACGAAAACATGTGAGGAACTGAAGGAAAGAGAAAACAAAAGATAAACTAGTTTCTGGACAGTTGAGCCAGGAACCGGCTGTTTTTTCCCCACAATTATTATTTCATTTGTTTATTGAATGGACAGTTTAGCTTCTAATTTGTTTCCTATTGATTATTTGATATTTTGGTGAATATGAGTTCTTGATGTTTGTTTATTAATCAGACTTCACCGATTTGATTGTTATTTTGATTTGAATAATTAATTGAATATACATGTATTTATTTATTTATTAAGGGAATGAATTGTTTGTGATTTCTGCTCCTTTGATGCCTTCTGTAGCTAAGTTAACAAGTTATCCTGGTTATCTCTCTTATCGTGATACAATTCATTGATAGGTATCACTAATCACAGTGAATTTTAAACAGAAAATGAGTTTTAAGTGGGAGGTACATGGTGTCTTGATAAACTTCTCATCTTACTCTGTTAATGAAAACTCAAACTTTTTTATTAACGGGAACACATTCTGAAATCATTATCATTATATAAAATTTGCACATAATGTCAGCATGTGCAACAAAAATTGTTACTTGTTACTACCTTGATCAGAGTGACCCACTTAATTTACCTGCCAGCAGCCTCGTCACACTGTATGCAAACTTGCACATTCCAGCTTAATAATCTCAGTACAGATCCATGTATGTAAAAAGGTTAAGCACATTGCTTGTCATCGTTACTAGAGCGCAATTCATAAATAAAACTGCAATAACACTTCCACCAAACATCTGTTAGCACAGACAGGCAGTTAATGTGAACATGCTCTGCTAATTACTATAATTTAATTATATTTTTATGCAGGTCTGGAGGAACTGTGTGATGGTCTGAGGTGGCAGACAGTAGGTCTGAAGGTCTTATTGCTGAGGAACAACCAGATCACTGCAAAGGGAATGGTGCATCTGGCCAAGACTCTGGTAAGGAACAAATACCAGATGTTAGTTTGTAATAATAGATAGTAATAGAAGTTTCAAAAATGCATAAAAATGATGTGGGCCTTTAACTCTACAGAAAGACCTGATATTTTAAGTCAGTGCTGTGATAGTTAGAACATATACTTCCCTTTCTCTATTTAAAGTAAATACAGACCAGAGCAACACACTCTATTAAGGCTTAAAATGAAGGGTTTGCTGGATCATCAAGCACATCCCTCTCTGGCAGCAAAATTAGCAGGGTCTGATTTTGGGGTGTGTGCGGGGGTGTGAACATGAAATTGGACTTACAGTTACAAGAGTTAGCAGGTGTCTTGCCTTGCATACCTGTGGTGAGGGGTGTGATTCACATGTGTGCATTGGAATTCCCCTGCTATTACCACCGCCACACATTGTACATTACTCTGTAATTATAGTTTCCACAGAAACATTCTTTCTGGCACAAGTGAAGGTTGGCTACACACATACATATACTATTGGAGTTATATAGGTTACTGATAACATTATTGCCCCTTGTCTCATCACTGAACAGGAGACCACTAAGCAGTAGCTGTTTAAGTTTACTCATTCATAAAGATCGTGGAGTGCATGAGGAATTGGAGTGAAATGGCTTTTAGATCTGTGTCACAGAGGGGGGGGGCTATAGACTTGCGTAAGTTAGTGATTGTGAAGACCATCATCATTTACCCCTGAACCCCTACATGCTATACTTTATGTGTGATTACAAGTAGCAGAAGAAGCGGAATCGCGGGCTGACCAGTGCGGAGACATGCGCTTACTGGTGTGAACAGCCAAGCGGCTGCTTGCACGAGGATTGACGCTTCGTGGGGCTTCCGCCTCCCGTGTGTTCCTGGCATGTTCCTTTGTCGTGGTAATTTTCCTGCTACTAAATTTAGTTTTGGTAGACTGATAATATATGTTTGCTCTACCATGGGCCATTATTAATCCTTCAGTCTCTAAAATACTTGTCACTTGTAAGTCATAGGAAATATTAATTAGTCACAGTCAGTAGGCGATATCGTATCCCCTTCAAAATGACCAAATATCTTCCCCCCGTTGATATCATGCCAATTCTGCCATCACCTCTCAGCTAACTCCCCATCCCCTGTGAGAGAAATTGTAGGGTACACAGTTTATTTTAAAAGTTGAAACCAGCATCAACCACATCAAAAAGAAAAGGGGAACAGTGCTCTTTGCCCTTCTCTCCCTCTCTCTCCCACACAAACACACTGACCTGATGGTCACTGGGAGAAATCCTGCCCACAGCTTCAGCAGGCAGGCAGGATTCATCACAAAACAAAATCCAGAAGATATCTCCCAAAGCACCAAATTCACTCTTCGTATTACTGTCCCACAGTTTTGGAACAAAATAGAAGAAAGGAATTTTACAATGAAAACATTAAGAGTATAGAATAAACTCACATGATTCTATTATGAAGTGATCGGAGTAGTCAATCAATCAGTTGATCTGAGCCTGTATTTTGGGAGCAAAGTGATCTATCGAGACTGTGGTGGAAATTTCTCTAAATCAAGCACTAGCAGGAGGGTGTTATTTACAGAGGGGAGAGCAGAGTCTGGAATCTTCCATTAATATGTATATATCAAAGTCTCCTTTCCATACCTAACAAATGCAAATGTTATTTGGACTCTAGTTAGACAATTTGTCTCATAACCAGATGTCACATCCATTGTCCTTAACTCTCAACAAGAGTAAGGAAAATGTACCAAAAAATACCCTATTAACAGGAGGAAAAAAACATAGACACCTTAGAGAGAGCCACATGTGAGGGGTCCCTCTCCCATGGAGGACAGAAGTGCAATAGATACCGGATGCAGATGAACACATCCTAGTAGTACAATTACCTTAACACTAGCTGAGCTAATCTGTTTTCCTCTATCCAGAATTTAGGAAATGAAGAGTGCTGAGCCTCATCCAGGGGACTCCAACTCTGAAAAATGTCCAGCCTCCACAGGTTTCATTGTACACTCCTAATAACATGCATTCCTTCCGCCTGATTGGCAAGATAAACCGCACCTTCCTGTCATGTGAGTGGCGATTGGGGAAGTCAAGGCTAGAAATTAAAGGCCTGCCTCACACACACACACACACACACACACGCACACACACGCCGCCTGTCCCTGGTGTTACCAAAAGAAGGAACAGTTTGATTAAATAATAGATGTGTGTTAAGGAGGGCTGTTCATGTGTGCTGCCAGTCAGTAGGATAAGTAGATGTCCTTGCAGGCCATAATGATTATAATTATACAGTTGCTGGTCGAATTGAATATGATGACGAAGAAAGCTGTTATTAATCTTTCTGCTTGTGTATCCTCTCTGTCCTCCTGCCTGGCTGGCTTGTCTTTTGAAGGACTAAGATGAGGGCTGGGTCTAGGGTCTAATTCCATTTGAGTCAGATTCTACAATTTTAAAATCTGATCATTTTTAAATGTACTTTTTGTACATATTATTTTCATAAAAATTATTCTTCTGATGTCAAGCTCCCATCTCATTTAGTTTGCATGCTTTTGTTGTTGTTTTTTGTTGTTGTTTTGTTTCAAGCCAGTATGTCATGTGTGAAAGCATACTCTGTTTGGTGGATTCACACCCCCCTTAAACTTCTCACTCACCCTCCTGTGGTTTACGTTTGACAGGCTTCAACCATGCTTGACTCTCACACACTCTCAACCACGTAGTCGCGTCTTTAATTGTCTGCTTTTATCCCTTGTGCATAACCATTGGAGAAGCTCTTTCTCCCTCTCCTCCTACCCTCCTTGCCAGAGAAGCTTCTCGCCATGCGTTGGATGTGCCGGTGCCTCTGTGTGCCGCAACTCAGCGAGGGAAAAAAAAAAGGGGGGGGGGGGGGGCTGCTCTCAAGTGTGTTTGCGGTGCAAATTAACTCAGAAGAGGATGCTCTCTGGGTCTGTTGCTGCTTTCTTGTGGCTTTCTTTCCGCCCCCATGCTCTCTCTCTTCAGAGCAGTGACCAGAGGAGTTTAACAAGGGTGGCGAGGCGAGGGGGCAACCAAGGAGTGGGTGGCACAATCCTCCTCAAGCTGTTGGGCAACACAGGCCCCTTGAGCCCAAGACACCCCCAGCTTTGTGCACCAAAGCTAATCAACCTTGCATGCTAATGTGGCTCTGGAGAGTTCGAAACAGAAGTTCTAAGTTTTTAACATGAGAGGAAACATTTTGAAAATGAATAATGACCGCATGATAATAATGATAATTAAAACTTCTTTCCACACTCAGTAGCACACTGAAAGCAGTGCACGACAGTCGGAAATCGAAAGCAAGGACCTATCATTGGATAAAGTAATTTAAACCAGACTGATGTACTTTTACATTTAAAATTCCTCAGTTTTTTGTTGATACCAAGTGTCCCTCGATCTTTTCAAAATAGCTTCTGGTCCTAAGTATCAATATGACATGAATCAATATGAAACCAGAATCCATGTTTTGCAGCCTGTGCTGAAGGTCCTGCAGGTCCTGGATTTGGCTGAGAACCTCCTGGGGAACGAGGGCATCCAGGTGATCAGGACGCCTCTCATGGTGAACTGCTCAGTGCTGCAGCTCGGCTTGGCCCAAGCCAACATCACCTGTGAAGGTAAAAAAAATCAACACACTGTATGACTTGTGCATGTAGTAGAATATCTCTGTTTTGATTTGAAATTAGCGCCAAAGATATCATCAAGATGGTATTTTTTTGTATAACTTTGACTTAGTACATGATTTACTGTAATTTCTCATTCATTTGATGACAAATTTAGTCAAATATTCAAAATCAAGACATTGACTAAATGAATAAACCCATTCTGTTCTTAAGAATTTGTCTTTGCAACCATATTCAAATTAGTCTTAAATTTTAATACGAGTGATGCATCTTTGGTTAAACATTAACCACTTGTGTCTCTATGAAGTTTGAACAGAGATAGGGCCACAAGTTGCAATTGTTTCTATCACTGGATAATATGCAACATATACATATGCACATCAATTCTGCATTGTTTATTCTTTAAAATAAAAATGTTAATATCTGTGCATTTTGGTAAACATATACACTGATATATGGGAAAGCCTAAATTCAGACAATTTTAACAGTGCAGTCTACGTAAAATAGGTTACTTAGCTAGGCAGGCCTGGCAGGTATATGCTCCTCTGATGTGTGTCTGATGTGTTTTCTTGGGTGGAGGTGCTGTGGCATTGGCCGAGTTCCTTGCAGAGAACCGTTACATTCAGCGCCTTGACCTCCGTCAGAACAAGGTGAAGGTTGGGGGCCTAATGGCCTTGTGTCTGTCCCTGAGGATAAACCATTCTCTTGCTTATCTGGATTTGGATGATGCAACCCCAGAGGAGCAGGTAGGTACAGTTCTTGTTTTTCTGTCATTACAGCGCTGATTCCCTTGTTTGGTCTTCAGGCCTTGTGCAGTGGCTCCTCTTTTGGAACAATGGTTTTCGGTAGCCGCATCTAGACTTTACTTAGACTACTGATAAAGACAAAAGTAAAAGTGCTTTAGTACTAGAGCTTTTTTGAAACATCATCATGGCAGATTATGTCATCCCACTTTTAGCTTCACACGGATATAAATTCAATGATAGTTTACAAGAAACTGCATTACTGAAATGTTTGCAATGCATGTTTGAAGTTTGCTGTTTTTCCAGTTCATTCTTGTAGTGCTAATCATTTAGATTGGATGGATTGGTAAATAAAGATTTTCTTTTTGCAGAACTTAAATGTAAATAGTGATTTCTGATATCTGACCTGTGTCCTTCCTGGTGGAAAAGTGCAGGCAAGTGGGATCTTGTCATGTTTGTCTGTAGGCAGTCAAATGACTATTGGTGCTTTCTAACAGGCATGTTTCATTTAAATTCCCCCTTTAATCTAAAATTATGGGATATTGGTGACTTGATTTAGACTTACTCAGAGATTTGTCACTTGGAGACACAAGTAAGTAATTTGTGTCTCAGTTCATCAGTGATGCTTGCATTTTTTTCTCTCTCTCTACCTTCCATGGCTACGGAGGCCTGAGGAAAACGATGCCATAACTTTAATACATGCCCCTGCTGGATTCACAAAATAATTACCCACACTTGCCATCTGTTTGTCATGATTTTATCTCTGCTAACGTATTTGCATATTAAAGCATTAATTAAAATCTCCAAGGAACGGGATGCTTATTTTAAAATTAACTCTGAAGGCGATCCGTACACAGCTTCCAAAGTAGTTTTATTTTTGTTTGCAGTGGTTTTCTGTTTGTCTGCTTGTTGTTTACACGATTAAGTCAGATTTTTATGAAATGTCTCCTCTGGCTAAAGTCAAGCGGCAAGATGTGCCAGATTTTGGAGAAGCAGCTTTTAAGAGTCCTGACGTTTCTGTGAATGTGTGTCATTAAAGCTGGGACGTCTTCTTCTTTCTTCTTCCTCAGTTTTTGCTCATGCACCAAAGCCCCCATATTGGTGGCTCTGTTTTCATGCTACTCTAAGCCGTCGAGAGACGTGATTAGCATTTCCACCATTGTTGGGAGTTAGTGTGGCTGGGTATTTTAAGCGAATGGTAATAAGGGAATTTTTAAGCTCTGTCAGGTTTTGGAGTCACACAGCTGGGATTTGTCTTGGTGTGGCATATCCAGGTGGGAGGAGTAACGGTTGTATTATAAAGAAAATCTTTCCATCAGAACACAGCGGGTGGCCAGATCAAGTGTTCTCGCTCAGTCACATTCCCCGGGTCGCCAAGGAATACATGAAAATTTCATTCTTGTAACAGAAAATAAGTGTGGGCATGTATGTGACTGAGTGACAGGGGGGGGTTATGGCAGCACTTTGTGTCTGTATTTGACAGTTGCTGATGTGGAATTTGTGTGTTCATACATGTGCTTTAGTATGTGCGTAGTTTTGCAGCTTTGCAGGGGGCAAATGAAGATGCGCATATTTAAAGGGGGAGAAAAAAAGGTTGCACGAGGGGAGGAAATCTGGGTTCTCTCGTCTTTGTTTACAAGAGTCTGATTTTTCATGTCTGTTGCCACGCTGCCCCATTTGATCACTGGCCTGTTTTCTGTTAATTATTAATTATTTACCCTGTTAAAATATTCATGCACAATGGCCCTAGTGGGAAGCAACCTTTTCCAAGGGGCAAGTTGTGTCTGTAGCCACTGCAAGGTGGAGCTGTTTATACATCCTTATCAGGGGACTCTGTCAACCCGGCTAATGAACTAAACTCCTTCTGCCCAACACTCTCTTAATCACGGGTCAGACAAGGGAGGCTGTTTACCTGTTTGATGCTTAAATATTTTTATTTGCTTTTGGTCAGTGGGAGCTTCCTGTCAGCTGTTCTCCAGCACATGGGTTCAGTGATAACACTGGAGAGTGTCCTCTCATGAATGTTGCATGTCAGCTGTTATCACTGAGTGATAACTACAGCACTATATGTGTCATCACCCTTATCGGAGGGTAGTGCGACAGGAAGGTGCTTGTTTCAGTGTTCCTGTGGAGGGGGACAGCAGGAGTTGTTGGTCTTTGAGAAAAAGCCAACTTAAGACTTTTTTCTATTTAAGGGTTTAGGATAAAGTTATTTTAACTCAACTGTACTGCATTGTTAAGCCAAGCTTTATATGTATACTGCCTTGCATTTTTGAAATTGTGCTCAATGTGCATGACTTTGATGCCTTACAGCTGTTAGTGGTAATGACAGATAACCATATATTTTATTTCTCATCAGCTGTGGAGCAAAAGTGTGAAATGCTGTGAATCTAAAAATTAAAAGCAACACAATAATAGAACACCAAAGACTATATTCATTGTAGTAGTTCTCAGGGAATTATGTTTAACCTGTTGTTTATCCCCTTGTATTGAGCTTTTAATGGATACACAGCTTTTCCTATTAATTACGTAGACTGTGGTGGCCCACCGTATTCTAATTTGTCCTGCCACAATTTCATAATGAACCGAAAGGTTTTTTACACATAAGAGAGCTCTAACTTGTGGTGATTGCTCACGCTTTCATGCTACTGTGAACTTATGCTACCATGAACTACTTGCAGGCTCATGTTATGGGTCATGACATTTTCACTGTAGATGCAGACACTAGACGTAGATGCATAGTTTGACCTCATCCAATACAGTTCTTTCTATCTGGCGAGAACTTATCTTTCAATCTTCAGTCAGTGTACCTGACCCTACTCAGAATCTGTTGCACATGAGAGTGACCTTTGTGTGTATGCATGTGCACTCCCGTTGCTGCAATAAATTGAATTAATCATTTGGGAAACGCTGTAAGCATGATGGTTAAAAAGATAAAAGCATAATCTTCATTTTATCCTACAACATTGACAGTTCACACCTCAGTTAAGTTTTTCAGATCCCATTTCAGTGAATGAGGTATGAGTGTTACACAAGAGAAAAGATGCATCGTGTGGTGTGTGGAGAGACTGCTATGTTCTGCACAGGGACCATTTGAAGGAGCAGTGGTCTTATTTTTGGAGCAGTGTGAAACAAAGAGGTCTCTGGGTATGTTTTCGGGCACCCCTCCTGTCATGGTCAGTCCCAGTAGGGTGGCTAGGTGACAGGATGGCCTGACCATGCATGTAGTTGGCACCCAGGTTTCAGCTCACATCATGATGACACTGATGCTCTAGGGAGTAGAGCACATAGACAGACACCAGCAACCAGGCAGAACAATCCTCCAAGTAAGGCCTCAGAGGGCAGTATGGAAAAGCTCGGAGCAGCCAGGGAGACCAGGGCTTACACAGCTACCAGATCAATCAACCACTGGAAACACAACACACAATGCAGCTCACTCTTACCTCTCAGAGATTGTAAAGGAAAGACTGTTGTTGTCTACTATTTAACCAAGTGAATTACTGGAAAACATCTTATTTCTGACCTGACAAAAGAAATTGTACTGGAAGCGTTCCCATTTAACTAAAACGCCACTTGTAAATCCAGAATTAAAATATGTCCTCTGGTAGTGATTTAAAAACACAAAGAAAATAACCTTCACACAATTAACACACAACCTGAGATTTAGCCAGATGGGAGCTACACTGACCAGACACAAAATAAAAACTGAAAACATTTTCAAAAGTATTCAGACTTTTTTAATGATTGAAAGATTGTTTTCCTGTTTGAAACTTAATGATGAATTTAATCACTGTCATTGTAACTTTCTGTATAATCAGTACTGAACAACTTAAATGGGTGTGATATGGATTTATTTCTTCAATGGAGTCATATGCAGTTAGATAATCACTGGAAAATGTGTTTTTGTATCAGTGTGGGAAAAAAAATTGAATAGGGCAATACAGGCAAAGAGTTTATTTGTGTTTAATCTGGGTTAATTTAACCTTCAAAAATTTACATCGAATTATTTAATTTTGAAATATGAACAAAATTAAAAATACAACCCAGGTCTTTAAACAGAATTTTGACACAGCCCCCCTCTTTGTTGATAATGTACATTTTGCAAATTGATTCAGGAATTTGCAAGTAATCAAATTACAACTAATTATAATAGTAAACTGACGCAGGGGGTTATGTGATTCTGGGGAGTTGGGACCACAGGGCAGTTGCATGTTTTGTAATTTTTGTAATCCAAGCCTACCTCCAGGGTTTATGAAACCACAACATGTCAAGTAAAAGTACAAAGGACAGAACCTCAGTGTTCCCAGTGGAAGTCATAACCAAAGATTTTGATAAACTGCGAGCCATACACACAGGGAGTCAGTCTGGGATGTATTGTTTGAGAATTGTAAAAAAAAAAATTTAACCGAGTAATTGAAATTGTGTCACTCAGACAGTGTAACGACCTCAGGCACGAAAACTGGTGGACTCAAATGCACGACACAGACAAGACGTGGATATAACAAAAAGAGGTTTATTCCCAGTCACAAAAGGTGCATAACAAAAGGCGCTCACGAAGAGGATAACAAAGTAGCAAAACCAAAACGCTAACAAAACTAAGATAAACAAGAAATACTAAACAAGAATGAAGCTAAATCCTGGCATGGCAAAATCTCTGACTTGAAACGTGGGGACAGAACATGACGAACTGGCACAGGACAAAGGGAGACGAGGACTATTTATACAAGGGGAAGTAGGAAACAGGTGAAACCAATCAGGGGCGGGGAAGACGATCATGAAGGCGGGAAATCACACAAAGGGAGGAAGTCAGGGTCTGAAATGAGAGGGAAAAGGTGAGTACCAAAATAAAACAGGAAGTGCACAACGAGACTAGACATGAGTGAGGTTTAACTTAACACCTAGTGCTGCCAAACACACAAGAACATGAATAAACTTAACATAACTGACGAGACATAACAGACAGTTATCAGAGATCAGAAATGGACCTGACAAACCCAGCTCTACATATTAGTCAACAGTACATTAATATTCAAAGCCATTGAACTCCTGTTGTATCCCCCAACAAAATACAACATTGCGTGTGCAGAGTCGACTTTTCCCCTTGATACCTCTGAAA